GAGTTTTGAGAATCTTACTGAAAATCACAAATTCGATGGTTTTACGATCGCACATGTTAAAATATGCAAAATATAATAGTTTTGAGAAACTTGTTGAAAATCACAAATTCGGTGGTTTTACGATCGTACATGTTAAAATGTGTAAAATATAAGAGTTTTGAGAAACTTACTGAAAATCGGAAATTCGATGGTTTTACGATCGTACATGTTAAAATATGCAAAATATAATAGTTTTGAGAAACTTATTGAAAATCACAAATTTGATGGTTTTACGATCGCACATGTTAAAATATGCAAAATATAAGAGTTTTGAGAAACCTACTGAAAATCACAAATTCGATGGTTTTACGATCGTACATGTTAAAATATGCAAAATATAAGAGTTATGAGAAACTTGCTTAAAGTCACATATTCCATGGTTTTACGATCGTACATGTTAAAATGTGCAACATACTAGAGTTTTGAGAAACTTGTTGAAAATCACAAATTCGGTGGTTTTACGATCGTACATGTTAAAATATGCAAAATATAGGAGTTTTGAGAAACTTATTGAAAATCACAAATTCGATGGTTTTACGATCGTACATGTTAAAATATGCAAAATATAAGAGTTTTGAGAAACTTACTGAAAACAAATTCGATGGTTTTACGATCGTACATGTTAAAATATGCAAAATATAAGAGTTTTGAGAAACTCACTTAAAGTCTCAAATTCGATGGATTCACGATCTTACATGTCAAAATATACCAATTATAAGGGTTTTTAGAAACTTGCTTAAAGTCACAAATTCGATGGTTTTACGATCTCACATGTTACAATATGCAAAATATAAGAGTTTTGAGAAACTCACTTAAAGTCACAAATTCGATGGTTTTACGATCTTACATGTTAAAATATGCGAAATATAAGAGTTTTTAGAAACTTGCTTAAAGTCACAAATTCGATGGTTTTACGATCTTACATGTTAAAATATGCAGTATATAAGAGATTTTAGAAACTTGCTTAAAGTCACAAATTCGATGGTTTTACGATCTTACATGTTAAAATATGCGAAATATAAGAGTTTTTAGAAACTTGCTTAAAGTCACAAATTCGATGGTTTTACGATCTTACATGTTAAAATACGCAAAATATTAGAGTTTTGAGAAACTTATTGAAAATCAATAATTCGATGGTTTTACGATCGCACATGTTAAAATATGCAAAATATTAGAGTTTTGAGAAACTTACTGAAAATCACAAATTCGATTGTTTTACGATCGCACATGTTAAAATATGCAAAATATAAGTTTTGAGAAACTTATTGAAAGTCACAAATTCGAATGTTTTACGATCGCACATGTTAAAATATGCAAAATATTAGAGTTTTGAGAAACTTATTGAAAATCACAAATTCGATGGTTTTAGGATCGCACATGTTAAAATATGCAAAATATTAGAGTTTTGAGAAACTTATTGAAAATCACAAATTCGATGGTTTTAGGATCGCACATGTTAAAATATGCAAAATATTAGAGTTTTGAGAAACTTATTGAAAATCACAAATTCGATGGTTTTACGATCGCACATGTTAAAATATGCAAAATATAAGAGTTTTGAGAAACTTGCTGAAAATCGCAAATTCGATCGCACATGTTAAAATACGCAAAATATTAGAGTTTTGAGAAACTTATTGAAAATCACAAATTCGATGGTTTTAGGATCGCACATGTTAAAATATGCAAAATAGAGTTTTGAGAAACTTGTTGAAAATCACAAATTCGGTGGTTTTACGATCGTACATGTTAAAATATGCAAAATATAAGAGTTTTGAGAAACTTATTGAAAATCACAAATTCGATGGTTTTACGATCGCACATGTTAAAATATGCAAAATATAAGAGTTTTGAGAAACTTATTGAAAATCACAAATTCGATGGTTTCACGATCGTACATGTTAAAATATGCAAAATATAAGAGTTTTGAGAATCTTACTGAAAATCACAAATTCGATGGTTTTACGATCGCACATGTTAAAATATGCAAAATATAATAGTTTTGAGAAACTTGTTGAAAATCACAAATTCGGTGGTTTTACGATCGTACATGTTAAAATGTGTAAAATATAAGAGTTTTGAGAAACTTACTGAAAATCGGAAATTCGATGGTTTTACGATCGTACATGTTAAAATATGCAAAATATAATAGTTTTGAGAAACTTATTGAAAATCACAAATTTGATGGTTTTACGATCGCACATGTTAAAATATGCAAAATATAAGAGTTTTGAGAAACCTACTGAAAATCACAAATTCGATGGTTTTACGATCGTACATGTTAAAATATGCAAAATATAAGAGTTATGAGAAACTTGCTTAAAGTCACATATTCCATGGTTTTACGATCGTACATGTTAAAATGTGCAACATACTAGAGTTTTGAGAAACTTGTTGAAAATCACAAATTCGGTGGTTTTACGATCGTACATGTTAAAATATGCAAAATATAGGAGTTTTGAGAAACTTATTGAAAATCACAAATTCGATGGTTTTACGATCGTACATGTTAAAATATGCAAAATATAAGAGTTTTGAGAAACTTACTGAAAATCACAAATTCGATGGTTATACGATCGCACATGTTAAAATATGCAAAATATAAGAGTTTTGAGAAACTTATTGAAAATCACAAATTCGGTGGTTTTACGATCGCACATGTTAAAATACGCAAAATATTAGAGTTTTTAGAAACTTACTGAAAATCACAAATTCGATGGTTTTACGATCGTACATGTTAAAATGTGTAAAATTTTATTTTTTGAAATTTACTGAAAATCACTAATTCGATGGTTTTACGATCGGACATGTTAAAATATGCAAAATATAAGTTTTGAGAAACTTATTGAAAATCGCAAATTCGATCGCACATGTTAAAATACGCAAAATATTAGTTTTTAGACACTTACTGAAAATCACAAATTCGATCGCACATGTTAAAATACGCAAAATATTAGAGTTTTGAGAAACTTATTGAAAATCACAAATTCGATGGTTTTACGATCGTACATGTTAAAATGTGCAAAATATAAGAGTTTTGAGAAATTTTCTTAAAGTCACAAATTCGATGGTTTTACGATCGCACATGTTAAAATATGCAAAATATTAGAGTTTTGAGAAACTTATTGAAAATCACAAATTCGATGGTTTTACGATCGTACATGTTAAAATGTGTAAAATATAAAAGTTTTTAGAAACTTACTGAGAATCACAAATTCGATGGTTTTACGATCGCACATGTTAAAATATGCAAAATATTAGAGTTTTGAGAAACTTATTGAAAATCACAAATTCGATGGTTTCACGATCGTACATGTTAAAATATGCAAAATATTAGAGTTTTGAGAAACTTATTGAAAATCACAAATTCGATGGTTTCACGATCGTAAATGTTAAAATGTGTAAAATATAAGAGTTATAGAAACTTACTGAAAATCACAAATTCGATGATTTTACGATCGCATATGTTAAAATATGCAAAATATTAGAGTTTTGAGAAACTTATTGAAAATCACAAATTCGATGGTTTTACGATCGCACATGTTAAAATATGCAAAATATTAGAGTTTTGAGAAACTCATTGAAAATCACAAATTCGATGGTTTTACGATCGTATATGTTAAAATGTGTAAAATATAAGTTTTTAGAAACTTACTGAAAATCACAAATTCGATAGTTTTACGATCGCACATGTTAAAATATGCAAAATATTAGAGTTTTGAAAAACTTATTGAAAATCACAAATTCGATGGTTTTACGATCGTACATGTTAAAATATGCAAAATATAAGAGTTTTGAGAAATTT